AAGAACACTACAAGGTTGTAATTTCTGTGGGAGAGGGTGCATGGCTGGATGTTAGATATTCTCATCCAGATAGATGGTAGATATTCTCATTTGCCACCTGTTATTACAATTAATATCTAAAATAATTCAAACAAACAAGAGAAGATAAAACTGCCAATTATTTTTTGCCACCTGTTATTTACAATTAATATCTAAAATAATTCAAACAAACAACAGAGATAAAACTGCCAATTATTTTTTTAATACTGACCGTTTAACATACAAAGTTCTATACATGGGATCATCCTAACTTAAACTATTACCTTAATGTTATCAGATGTCTGAGTTTGAGGAAAAAGACACACACAAGCCCTGGAAGAGATAGTAACTCTGATTACTATAATAATAGTAAATAATCAGCATTAAAAAGATAGCTTTTCAAAACATTTTGATTTAAATACCTTTGACCATATGTGTTTTCTTTCTAACATATCCCCAGAACCATTTAAGAGCCTTATATAGTCCTTGTTTGACCTGTAAAATGTTACAGATTGATGTTCTAGAAAAAGCTGATCTGTATTTTAGAATGGCTACAAAAGAATTGCTCAAGAGAATTAGGGAGAAAGTAGTTATGCTGTGAGCATAATTTTCTCACAGTAGGCAAGATGTTCAATTGTTTGATATCAAAAAACACTGCCACACTAGCTCTTATTCTACCAAGACCAACATTTAATAATTCTGCTGAAAGGCCAAAATCCCAGGCTTTTCATCTAGCTGCTTTTCTGTGAATGAGACAGAGGTACAGGAAGCAAACAAAAGAGGCCAGATTCAACCAAATCCAATAATGAATTTTCATAACCCAAGCTTCTGTAAAAATGGATGGGAGAAAACCTGCTTCAAATTTCAGGAAGGCATTTAGAACACAGCGGGGACTGCACAACTTCCAGTCCACTTAATTTAGAACAAGCCCCAGCTTGAATCAATAAAATCAGTGTACTAATAGTTTAGTCATGAAAACTTCAAGCTATAATTTAAGCTACTGTAAATTACTGTAATTTATTTTTTCCTACCTTTAATTTAAACTTAGAATGCTTTTTTTTACCACATATTCTAAGTTGAGTCAATATAATCCTGATGTATGAAAAATACTCCCCAGATATTTAAAGATCCTAAAGTGCCATTAACTATTCATCCAAATGTTTTTATGAGGCCTTTATTGACTACAGTAAACCATTTTACTATAATTTACTGTACCTGTATACAATATTTTTTACAGTATTTTACAATGGGGTAAGGGCAAGCATATGGTTTACAGTGATACCAATTATTGTATTGAACTTAAACAGATTGTGATTCTTTTTCCTTCTTCTCCTCAGATTACAAAGCATTTGAAGAGGCAGCTGAACACTTCCAGCCTTATGTCAGGTTCTTTGCCACCTTCGACAAAGGGGTAAGGACACAAAGATTCCTGCACTGGTTTGGTGATTGAGAAAGTGGTAGTCCTACAGCTCCAGATGCACTGGATGATTCTGATTATTTGGAACCATTTCAGTTGGTTTTACAGCTAGAATATGGTACTGTGTTGGTCATCTTGCTAGATGGACTATGCCAGAAATTGGACTGGGTTCAGGAGAGAGAATGTGGTCATACTGGTTCTGTTGGACCTTTCAGCATGTTTCGATATCTTGATCATGATACTTTTCAGGACTAACCATGGGAGCACTGTTTTGCAGTAGTGGAATCTTTTCTATTGGACCATGAGCAGAACCCAGGTGCTGGGTGATTACTGTTCTAGCCTGAAGCTATTGTTCTGTGCTGTCCCTTAGGGTTCCATCTTGTCCTTCAGGCTATTTAATAGCAACATGAAAACCCCAGGACTGGGGTGCTGCCATATGTTGCTAATTCTGAGCTCTCCTACTCCTTACCCTTCAACTCAAGGAAGCAATCACTACCTATGATCATTTGTCTAAGTTTGATAATTGGCTGAATGGTAAATGAGCCAAATCTAGACAAAAATAAGTGCTAGTGGGTGAGGGAAAAATGGAGTCAGGATTGGTTTGAACTGGATTGCACACTTTTTGAAAAAGCAGATATTTATTTGTTTATTTATTTATAATTAAATTTGTATGCTGCCCATCTCCCCCAACGGGTGACTCTGGGCAGCTCACAATTAACATCAAAAACCCATAAACAATTAAAAATACCCCATAAATAGACTTAATTAATCCATTAAAATCAACTGTAAAAACAAACCCTATAAATAAATACTAAGAACATTCAAGATGACGGGGGGGGGGGGCAAAATCAATTACCCCATAGGCCTTCTCCACTGATGTGAGACCCCAGGCCTTCTGGCATAGCCAGGATATGCAATCTGTGAGTGTTCCTTGTTCTTCAGTTGTCACTATATTCTCATTTTCACACAATTAAGGGTAGTACACCAGTTGTGAATGCTTCCTGAGCTGGTCAGAGTTGGTGGCAGTGATCTAAAATGCATTCCATGTGGCTAATCCTGAAAAGTATCTGGAAGTTGCAACTGGTATAAAAAGCAGCTGTGAAGCTGCTAACTGGTGCAAGGTACAGGGATCATTTGATTGCCAGTAGTTCTCCAGACATAATTTAAAATGTTATTGATCTTTAAGACCTAAGATGACTTGGGACTTCCCTCCTAACAACTGCCTGTTCTATCAAGAACCAATCTGGCTAGCAGCTGGTGTATTGATTCTTTTAATTTTTTTTTCTCTTTGATTTTGAACACGTCTAAAGCCCTTTTCTTTATTCCCAGCATCCTTCGCTAACCTCTACTCATTCGTAGCTTTTGCTTTTCTGATACAGCTGTAGAGTTCTAGGCCACTTTTGGGTATTCTTTGTACCTGGCTTTCTTTACATTTCCTGTATGTGCCCTTTTCTATTCTCAGATCTTCACTAAGGTTTTTGTGCAGCCATTTCTTTTTTTTCCCTGAAGTTCTCTTTCATGAAATCCTTCTTATTGTTATGTTAAGTTCATTAAAACTAAGGGGGGCAGGGGCTGCTTAACTCCAGGTTGGGTTTGACTATGCTCAATTTTAGTTTCCCTTAAAATCAAGAACTCCAGCTATACATGGTCACATCCCCAAATGTGCTTCCTACTGATTAATACCAAGTCAAGACTAGCTGAGTCTCTTGTGCTATCCTTCCATTGTCTACAGGAGACAGGTCAGAAAGATCATGCTTGGAAGAATTTGTTTTCCAGTCAGTATTAATGCAACTAAAGTCTCCCATACTTCTTTGAAAGTTCTGTGATTTTCTTTCAGAAGACATAGTACACATCTTCTCTTTGGTTCAGCACGCAATAGTAGATACCAACAATGATACTGTTTTCATTTATTTCTTTGCTTATTTAGTGCAGCATTGCTAATTTCATTCCTTTGGATTTCTGAGCAGGAATAGGTATTTTAACATATATTGCAATCCCTCCTTTTCTGTGTTTTCTTTTGCACAAATCATATATTTCAACTATTATAATCCAGCTGTGGGAGTCACCTTCCCAGGTCTCTGTTAGACCTATTTAAATTATATTTGCCTTTCTGTTCTAAAAGCTCAAGTTCATAACATTTATATACCATATTCTGAACCTTAATGTATAGACCGCGAAGGCCATTAAATTATGAGCCTATATTCTAATTTTTCTTTATTATTTCAGGGAGCCTATTTTAACAACATTCTCACTTTCTACAATGCACACATTCTTGTTTCATGATTTTCATTTTAGTGAAGGAAAATTCCAAAGCATCCCTTATCAGGATATCAGTTATATCCTCGCAAGTCAAATGCAGAGGAATCCTTAAATCATGTTTTATTATATTGGGTGTTTTATAGAGATAATAGAAATAGGTATATTGCACCTCTTTTAGTGGACTCTTCAGGATGTAGAGATCATTTTCATTTACATTACTATTGCTGGTTAATCAGTATGACTCTACAGCCTTGGCAGTGGCCAAATTCTCTTATGTACAGTGGAACCTCGAGTTACGAATTTAATCCGTTCCGTGACTCTGGTTGCAACTCG